TCATGTAAGGTTCTTTTTTTTTCTTGCTAGGTACATTATATGATGGAGAAAAGTTTCAACTTGAGTTTAAATTTGGATCAAGATACCCATTTGAATCGCCAGAGGTAAAAAGTGTAATGATAAATCATCCTTCACTGAATGCTTGCAAATCATTTAATAGCAAGTTTTGTTTGTGATTCTTTCCACTTTTGGAAAAGCAGTCATATAAAAGCTCATAGTGGGTATACCAAGTTTTTGGGTTTTAGACTCTTAGCAGTGTGATTTTGTGTTGGTTTGAATAGCAGAGAAAATACCACATGTAGCAAAATGGAAAAAGTCGCTTGACCACACGCCTCATGGTACAGCAATTTTTTCATACAAACCCTGGTTTTTAGACAGTCCATCACTAATAAAATGTAAAGTGCTTTGTTTCAATCACGTCAAAGTTGGGTTTCTACAATCGGCGACAAAATTAGTTAGGACACTTCGCCCCTTCAGAAGGGGATACTAAAGCTTTTCCTCCCCATTCCCTCCATGCAATTTTGTGCAGCTGTCCGAGCTACTTATAGAAAACAACGAACACCCAAACTTTGGATGGAGGGGAGGGGGAGGGATGTGGATTCTTTTGTTCTCTGAAGTTACCTGTTTAAGTACATGTCTCAACAATTTTGTTGCCGACTGTGGCTAATAATTAGCTAAACATAGCTAGAAAGCCTATTCATTTCTTATGTTCTTTTTAATCTCTCATTTTGTTGGTTGGCATCTAAACTTGTGATATTATTTGTAAATATCAAACATGGGGGGTACTAGGACTAAGACAGCCTTTAGCTTAGGATGAAGTTTTAAATAGATTAGTACTAGTATTCCTTTTTGGCATATCAAGCTATTTTACTCACAAACTACAAACGTATCCAGTATTTTTACTGTTAGCTTTTGTACTAAATGGGTGATTCTGGAAAATATCCATACCATACCATGGACGGCTTACATTACCCCCCCCCAACTCCCGTTCAGATCTTCCTTTTTTTTTGACAACCCTTCAGAATTCCAGGCAGGGTTTGTAAATATGCCAAATGTGGTTTATTTTACACTAAAATATTTTAAATGACTCTACCTAGAACTGTACTTCAGTACAGCTGGTTATAGAGGGAGTCATTCTGACTCCAGAAACTCTGGAATGAAATTTTGAAAAAAAAATGGAAGTTGTCTTCTTACTGCTGTTCAACAGATGCAACCTTCATTAACTTAACATTGCAGCAAACTAGTACAGAACATAAAAATAAGAATATCTTGTGATGAACGTGTGTCCACACTGAAGATATTACAATCAAGTGTATTTTTATTTCTGCCATCTTGAATTTGAGCCTTCGGGGTCAGCACAATCACTACCAATCCCACAAACTTCAACAATCAAAATGGCATCTTTGGTTAAAAAACCATGTTTTGCATTGAATGGACAAAGAAATTTATGAGGCTGTCTTCACAAGAGAAAAAAGGATGTTTTGTAGCATTAAGGCCTCTGGAGAGTGATGTACATGTACAACCCACGTTTTGTTTATTTGCAAACTGAATAAGTTCATAAAATAAGCGTTTTCAAGGAAGACATTATTGTCTGTCTGCTGTGAAAATTCCAGATATTAAACCCCTCCTTGCCTTCAAAATTCCAGTCGTAAGCATACCCCTCCGCTTTCGGATTTCCAGTTCAAAGAACCCCTCCTTGCCCTTGGAATTCCAAAAAGCCTTCCGTGGTATGGTATGGATATTTTCTGGAATCGTCCAATGCTAGCAAAAGCACACTTGCATAGATTCAGGTCCCAGCATTCTAATAGACTTACCTGCAAAATAGCTCAGCTAGCATACATAGTCCCAATCTAGGGGGCCGGGACAAACTCGGACCGGTATGAGTCCGTCCCGCTCTCCATACATTTCTTTTCATGCGTTTACATGGGACCGGCCTAAAAACGAACTCAGAGCGGTCTGACTTTGTGTTGGTCGCTGACCCGACACAAGTTATTTGTGTACCAGTCTAGGACTATAACTTTCTCGTGTAAAACGGCAATGAAACTCAGTCCGGGTCCATAAATAGCATGTTTCTTCGCATGGCTCCATCATTTTTGCTTTTTTTATCAAAATAAGAACACTGCTATGAATAACTGTTAACACGACTTGGAAGTAGCTTTAATTGAATATATGTTTCAGTTAATGTGAGGGATAGCACCATTTTGAGATGCTGTGCATTTAACATGCCACCAGATGAGCATTAGATGAAGTTTACAATTTTCTGGGAGCAGTAAAATCTACGGTTCTCTACTCACTGTCTTAATAGGCGTAAATTGTGTACCAGTTAGGACAGTTAGTGAATAATATGTTTATACAGATCGACTTAAGAAAGTTATATAGCTACAAGAATCTCCTGTTTTTCTCCTGGTCTCATGTAATCAACAAAGTGTTTTTTCCTGGTCTCATGTAAACGATTGCAAAAATTACAAATTTGTACTGGCCTAAGTTCGTCCCGGTCTCATGTAATAACCCCCTATAAGCATGCCTGTGCCTTGAATCAAGCATTGTGTCACCGCAAGCTGCAAAGAGCCTGTTAAGTAGATTTTTTATGAACATCTTGTTGCAGGTTATCTTTGGAGGTCCCAATATTCCAGTACACCCTCATGTGTATAGTAATGGGCATATCTGCTTGTCAATCCTAACAGATGATTGGTCACCTGCGCTCTCTGTTGAGTCTGTTTGTCTCAGTATTGTCAGCATGTTAAGTAGTTGTCAAGAAAAGGTGAGATGTTTTATTGAGGGTCGAAAAGGGCTAGATATTATAGAGCTTTTTCTTGATCCACAGGACTGTATGTGGCAGGATTAGCTAAGTTGGTACACCCCTTGGAGGTTGTGGGTTCAATTCCCAGGGCCACACCAATACTCAGGGTCTTAAAATGCCTGAAAATGTTCTGCCATTGTCCCACAAAAGGCTAGACCTTTGCATGGCTTGGATGACCACGTAAAAGGGCAGTCGATTAGTACTTATGTGCTAAATACGTTGTTATCAAATAAAGTGAATTTTTTTCATTATTTTCACTGATGTTGTTCTAAACAAATTACATATTGTTAATTAAAGACTTTCTCACTCTTTTTATACTATTTTCATATTGAACTGAATTTTTTATTCTGCACCATGATCATTGATTAAATGTGCTTGAAAAAAAAAACAAGTTACTTAATTCTTTTCAACTGCTAGATTCTCCTTGTAATTTTGTCTTTTGTGCTGCATACTTGTCAATCAAAGGCCGAATTTGATATCAACTGAGTCGAAGAGTCAATACTTTATATTTAGCCTCATGCACCAGTGTTTGTAATATAAAATGTCATAGTTCCACAGGATATATGCTGATGCCATGAGCTTGACATTGAATGCAACACCTGCAGGTCCCAAGCAACGGATGTTTAAGTGAAAATGTACATGCTTGGAGTCTCAGCCCCACTAAATATACAAATCCAAGAGAAAAATTAAAGTGAATATTTTAAGAGCTGACTAAATTTTCACATTTGCTCCTAACAAACCCTGTTAGGAATTTTATGGAGATACTGGTATAATAATATTGTTGTCTGTCTTTCAGAAACTTCCCCCTGATAATAATTGGTATGTAAAAACTTGTCATAAAAATCCCAAGAAAACAAGATGGTGGTACCATGGTAAGTGTATGTTATAGTGTATAATATTTTCCGTACTAAAGAGGAGAATTTACAAACAGCCTCTACTGGCAAATAGCATGGCTAATCTAGGTGGATGGAGCAAATCAGATAGTTTTAATATACTGTAAATCAAAATGAATAAATAAATAAGAGATAGAGGGAAAAAGAAATCTACCTGGTACTTACCCAGGGTAAGTGCAATTTTGACTCAAGATGTCTAGCTGTAACAGTAAAAACCCGCATGTAAGAACCTAGTGGTTTAAGAACCTGCTGGCAGAAATTTGCCATTTTAATACTCAAAAATTCAAGGGCCTGTTTAGGTAGGTTCTTATAATTACCGTTATGGGTTACATTTATGTAATTATGTGTAGTAATTGATTCTACAGTCAATAGTAGCTCTCTCTAAGATGAACATGGCACAATGGTATGCAGCTCTAATTGTCCATCTTAAAGAGTAGGGAGATATGTTACCGACAATAAAATGACCGAAAAGCAGTCGGGAGTTGCCCATTTTAGAGAGGTAACCTGCGCGGATCAGGTGTTCTTTTGTTTTCAGGAAGAAGACCGCCTGATGGCAGGTTATTAGACAGGTGTCCGTTTGGCGAGAGTTGACTGTATACTTCTAGTTTTTCTTTTGAGCAATCCAATTCCCTACTAAAATTAATAGCCCATGAAAACTTCAATTTTTTTTCAACACCTTGGATGTGAGTGGATTTTTGTTCATGTGCAAAATTTAAGGGTGACTCCTGCTGCCGTTCACCATGGCAAATCAAAGTCTTTGTGCAGTTCCTTTTTTTCCTTTCTATTTGGCCTGACCTTGCTCTGCTCATGTCCATGCCCTCAGGTTGTTAAATGTAGAATTTCATCCATTAACATGATTAACTCCTTTGAGTGTTATGTCTTGCAGATGATACTGTTTGATAAATACCTTCAAGTAAAGTTATGTGGACGGGCAATTACTGACCAACCTAAAGACTAAAGAATTCTGACAAGTATAACTTAAGTAACTTGTTTTTCCTCCACCTATATTTTTATCTCATGATAATCAGTAAAAACTGTTATAGGTTGTGATCTCCTTTAAGGAGTGTAGTATTTCCTAGAAATGATTCATGTCACAAAATAAGTGCAGAAAATTACGTGCACACATCAATTAACGAAGAAAGGACCATTATTCTGGTGTACTTTTTTAATGGGGAAGGGGGGGTTGGCATTGGAGGTGGCCTGCAAAACTGCACCTCTGCAACTTGACTCAATTTTTTCTCAGAAAGACTTGCCCCTTGGCAGCCCAATGTATTTTATTAGAAATGCTAGAAACAGTAACATAACAGGCAACTGGACAGCCTCCTGGGAAACTGCCCACCTACCCCTCCCCTAAGGACAAAATGTTGAATTAGGGGAGGGGTAGGTAGGCAGTTTCCCAGAAACCTAAATTGATCTACATAATTATTCCTGCAAGTGTCTTTCAGACACAGTGTAGCCGATGTGTTATTAGCTGACTCATTGTGAATAATAATTTTAAGCTGAAAGGACAGAATATCTTCTTTTTTGTTTTAGGCTAAGGCCGCGGTGTAATGCAAGTCTCTAATATAATGAATGTATCTTTTATTTAATTTCTTTTTGTACAAGTGTAAATTGATTAAAATTGTTAGGAAAGCAGTCCAGCCGTTTCGTCTTTGTATTGATCAGGCAAAGGGGTGGTGAAAGGGTTCATACAGAGTCCTGAATTCTTGAAAAAGTCTTGAAATTCGTAAACCAATAATCCAGACCTGTAAAAAGTCGGAAAATATAGTTATTTTTAAACAATTCTGAACGCGAAGGCCAGGAATGTGTTAGAATAACTCCAACTAGAAGAAGACATCACCTCTTTTTACACATTCAAGGCACTTAAAATCTAGCAACTGTGAAAATAAAAGCTAAAAGTCTTGAGATACATTTCGCTCTTAATGACTGAGGAGGCTCGAAGAGCGGAATATATCTCAAGACTTTTAGTTTTCATTCTTACATTTTTTAGTGTTTCTAGATTTTTAGTGCGTTGAATGCGTAAAAAGACTTGATGTCTTCTTCTAGTTCGAGAAAATGTAGTTAAAATCTGGAAAAATGGTAGAACGTCTGGAGTTATTTATTCAACGCTACGATAAGGTAGCAATTTTTTTTCCCCTTTTTCAAATCGTATTCGATCTCGGTCGGCCGTAGCCACGACATCATGAGGAAAACTTGGTTCCTACGTTTTTCAGTGTCTCTGTTGATCAACTATTTGATAATCTTAAGTCCTGAAAAAAGAAATTATTTTGGAAAAAAGTCTGGAGAAAGCCTTGGGTTTTTTATCCAAAACTCTGTACGTACCCTGTGGTAAGTTAAATGAGAATTACTGTTGTTAAATGAGAATTACTGTTGTGGTTCACTAGTCTTTGGTCTTGTTAATATATAGATTTAGCCAGAGCTTAGAGCGAAGCTCCCGTCAAAGTTGGTATTTCCTTCAAACAGTGAGTTCAAAACTATTGCAAACAAATCCACGATACAGTTTTTCAGAGGCAATACCGATATTTTTCAGTCTCCTTTAAAGTGGTTTTTTCCTTGTCCGATATCGCTATAAAATTTTTACCAGTAATTGGCTATGGATTGAAATTTGTGAAAATGTAGTTTTAAGTAAAATCAATATTACTATGACAACAATAAACAAAAAAATTTGAAAGTGATAAAAGCCGAATTTTGTGTGATCTAGACCTGCTACTGAAAATCCAACACTAGGAACTTAAAGTTTGGTGTTTAGCAAACAATCTCCGTAAGAAGTAAAAAAACTCTGTATGTTTGAATTCGACCAACACGAAAACATATTTCAAACCTTAAATTTTCAATAGCCGTGATAGATTATTTAATAAAAACGTTATAAATGACTCGAATTATTCTTAAGTAGCGTCAAAATGCTGCTAAATATCATATTTCGATTCTAGGAAATTTCGATGTACTTTCGTTCTTGCCGGATCTTGAAAACTAACCTGTTTTCTCACCACCTGTATAAGTGCAACCTCATTCAGAATTTGGACTGTTAGCGCTTTCTGGTATATCTCCGAAACGACTCGAAAGAATTTTTTTTAAATCTCTTCTGAAACTTTCATTAAGATTGATTCACTGCAACACCTTAAAATTTCAAGACAAACCTATCCTACTAACCGGTCAAAAATCTGCGTTACAACATTCACTGTTTTGACGTTATGCTAATTTTTCCAAAATAATGCGCACTATACATACCTCCATGACTAGTACATTTTAGTTTGAATTTATTGCATCTTTTGAATGTAAAACATTGACAATACTCACACTGAAATGTACTAGTCAGGGATGTATGTATTATAGGGGCATTTGGTAAGTTGTGCGTACCTCTGAAAAAAACCTGGTTACGCCCCTGCCATTTGTTTGGAGTTCCACTCCTCAGAACTGAGTAAATGATTTAACCAAAACTGTAACACTTCATTTTCCCAGGAGCCCATAATGCGATCTTTGTTTTCCCTTTAAGCGAATCGCTTTCTTTTAGAGTTTCCAGTACGAGCACAAATAGCTAAAAATGGCTGAGAATACTTCATTTCGCTTTCAGGTCATTGACGAGTTCAATTAAAATAACATAACCAAAGAGATTCTAGCGACTTTTTATGAACCTGATACTGGTACTGGTTATTCACTATCCATAGTAAGGAATAAGTCACATTGACCGCCATTTTTTAAATGTAGATGTTCTTTCTTTATTTTTTAACACAGCTATTAATTATTCCATAGAAATACATGTACAGTACTCTTAGAGTACAACATATGCACTGCTTGTAGCAGATTGGAAATGGCTAATTAACCTTGCAACTGACCATGAACTTATAATATAAATACTTCCTGTCATGTCACTGAGGAAAGTATGTTTGCTCAACATAAATTAAATACTCTTCGTTATACAATTTTATTAACATGATGCTCCTTAAAAAGAAAGATGTATAAATCTCAGCAGCTTAAAGGTTTATACTACAGTTAGAGAGAGCAGACGACACTATATACATTTGCTTCTTGGCCAGCTCAAAAAAATATTCATGCGCTCGGTGATTCTTTTTACATTTCTCAGTGTGAAAAAAATGGTAACCATTCCAGAAAAGAAAATGCTGAACATTAAATAATATCTTTACAGTTTATGTACTTAAATTTATTTACAAGGCATTATTAAAAGCGACTAGATCTTGAAACCTTATCAAAAAATATTGCCACATTTTTAAGCTACAATGTCCACAAGGCTGATTTTTTTGCGTTACGTTTTAACCTATCTCGAAAAATAACCACCGCTTACAGGGTTGCTAATTGCTAAACATTTACTTCAGGATCTTGTTGAGGACTATTCATTTTCCTCTTTAATTACAAGAAACAGCCTCCTGGATTTCAAACGTTTTGGCTTTAAAGATGGTTTCTGCACCAACTGGAGTTGTTACCATGTCACCGTCTGGTAAAAATCGAAACCAGGCTTGTCTGTCATAGGTTGTACGGCCCATTTTCCGCCTCATGGCTGCCTTGCCTGACTCATCACTGACCAGAAACATTTCTGGATTAACAGCCGACTTTATGTTGCAGAAAACGTTACTGGCTTTTTCAACGTGGAACAAGAACCTGGCATCTGTAGGCTTGCTATCGGAGGAACTCTACATTGAAAGCACAAAAGAACGTGATAAACATGATAAAATGACGTTAGTGTGTCATATTATGTATCTATTTAAAAGAGTGGCTTTGTGAGTCGCTGGCATTAGGCCGTGTAAACCCTTGAGACTGTGTTTTTCTGCGCAAAAAATAGATCATCACGTTCGATAATTTTCCACCATGATCTCGACTATTATGAAGGGCAAAGTAGCAGAGGGGCCATTTCAACTCCGCTCTCTCAAATTCCATTTAGCAACCCTATATAGCTGGGTTAAAAGAGGAATACTCGATTTTATGGGGGAATTTGCTTCAGTTGTAAACTCTAAAAAATGCAAGGTTTACAGAAACTTTACTTCGATCTTTCGCCATAAAATCTGTTGGGGTAAGCGTAAGATGAACTAAACTTAACTTCCACCGTGGAATTCAGTTAACGTTGTTATTACATTAAGCCATTTTACTTAACTCGTATTGTTACTTACCATCAGAAACACTTCGTTATTCTCTGCACACAGGAAGTATTGTTGGCCCTCTATATAGCACGAGAATGTGTTGTATCCTGGCATGTCATGCTGCCCAATATAGAATTCTGAAATACATGGGTATAAAAAAGTGTACATTTTGGTCACCGACTGGTGATTATATCTGATACATAAATATAGAATTATTAATACCTCAGTCATGAAAAGTTTGCGTCAACAGTACTTAAGGTAATGTTACACGGGACGATTCGCGACGACGATTTTTAGCGCCAAACAGAGTTGCAACATTGTTGCGACATCGTTTCAAATGGTTGCAACGCTTCCAAAATTGTAAAACTGTGTTGCGCTATAAATCGTCTTTGCCCATGTCAGAAATCGAGTTCACGAGTTCGATTTCTGACATGCGTAATTACATAAATAAATAAATATAGAATTATACTTCAGTCATGGAAAAATCGCGCGAACAGTTCTTACGCATGCCAGAAATCTCACTCGTTCCATTTCTGATACAAAACCATCGAGAGCTAGCGTAGTGATCGCTAGCACTTCCCAGTACTCTTTGCTAAATTGCCTAGAACTGGATCAAATTTTCCCATACACAATGGATACCCAATCCCGCCTTAAGAAAAGGAGCCAATTCTTATTATAAGATATTGTGGAGCAGATTCTTATAACAAAATGTTTTCATTCCTCTACACAGTCGTTTGCGTCATCTTGTTAGTATGAAGGTCGACAAAGTTGGTCAAAACAAAGGAAGATGTTACTTTTAATTAGTGATATTTTTGGCGGGAAAACAAGTCATATGAATTCAATTTCGCGAGATCAATAAGTTTCCCATCTTTCCCATCCCTTAACGTACTGGCTTTTTTGGTCGTCGTGATCCGCTTCAATAAATTTTGTTGCCAAAGACGAAAAGTATAAACTTTGATCCAAATGAGGACATTTTGTCGCTGCCTTCACTATCAAATGAAACGGTGAAGATTGAAATAGCACTGAATATGCAAGAAAAAAAACAAAGAAAGAAAACGGGTGCATAAACTTGTCTTACTCCATACATTCAAAATACCTGTTGTTTCCTCATAAGCGTTTCCCGTGAATTCCACAGTTATCCTTGCTTCCCGTTCATGACCCTTCTTTGTAACGGCTTTTAAATAAGCTCCTCCTGCGTATTGTCGAACATTCGCCATTATGACTTTACATTCCATGCTCTTCGCCCAGGTGAGTTCCATCTGTTGAGAAGAGAAACATAACGTATCTAAATTCAAAATACAAAGCATGGATTCATTTTCCAGTTGCCTCTTTCCTTAATATTTCTAAATTTTCCTCTCCGCCGCTTTTGATGTCGACTGTCAAGATTGCAGATAAATATTAACGGTAAAAAGTTTCAAGGTATTTCAAACTCATTATTTCAGCTGATCTGAAGAATCTCTAAACTAGAAAAGCTTCGGCCCATGTTTTTAATAACACTCTCTCCATACATTACAAAACCTTACATTTTCAAATTGCTTCGACATTTTATGAGTGAAAGGTCCAGACAACCTCTGAAACACAACAGATAATATTGATTTGTACAGAACTATTTATTTACCGTAATGATTCGATTTAGCGCCTTCCTTCCAATAAGAGCCCTCTTTCTAGTAAGCGCTCCCCTTCGAAGGTGTTTTTCTTAATAAGCGCCCCTATTTCATTAAGCGCCCTCATTCCAATATGCGCCCTTATTCTGCTTAGTGCCCCTATATTAGCATACGGGTACTTATATATCAACCAAGGTTCATCTTCCTTTAAGGTTTTTCGATACTTGAAATTTATGAAAATGTAGTTTTAAGTAAAATAATCTATCACGGCTATTGAAAATTTAAGGTTTGAAACATATTTTCGTTTTATTTGAATTCAAACACACAGAATTTTTTACTTCTTATGGAGATTATTTGCTAAACACCAAACTTTAAGTTCCTAGTGTTGGATTTTCAGGAAGCTGGTCTAGATCGCGCAAAATTAGGCGTTCATCAGTTTCAAGGTTTTTGTTTATTGTTGTCATAGTAATATCGATTTTACTAAAAGCTACATTTTGACAAATTTCAATCTATAGTTAATCATTTGTGAAAATTTTATAGCGATCAGACAAGGACAAAATCACTTTTAAAGCGATTGAAAAATATCGGTATGGCCTCGGAAAAACTATATCGAAACACCTTAATTGCTCACAAATGAACGGTAATGCCACATTACAAAAACAGTTGTCTTAGAATTTCTCACTTTAACTGAACATAGATCGTATATTTTTTATTGTTACAGTTTCTGTTATTGTCCCTTTTATAACAAAAATATTCAGTAAAGTTTTGTTTTGAACATTCGGTTGTTTCTCAAAAAAAAAAAAAGTAAGCGCCCTGTCTCTAGTGTAAAGCGCCTTCGCTTGAGGTAGCAAAAGTCAATAGGCGCGCCGGGCGCTAAATCGAATCATTACGGTAAACTCTTGACTAGGTTTCCACATAATAACTGTCAACCATCAAAACTAGAAAAAATTAATCATGAGCCGTCAAAGGTACCACCCCTATTGAGACCCTCGCCTAATACCTAGTGATTGTTACTCAACGTGAAGCAGGTGGTTAGAAAGTAAGCTCACTCATTTGCTGTAATTCTTTCATACCTCTTTTGTTTCTCTGATAATTTCCGTTACTGGTGACGACTTGAACCGTTGAACGTTTAGCTTGGCTTTTCTACTTTAACAGGCGACTGCAAGATGAATTTGAATTTGTGCTCCACGATGGTTGTATTTATTTCCATTTATCACCGGAAGTTATAAATGGAAATGTAAGCTTGGGATTCCCAAAATAGCAAAATGTCACACGCAGGAGCTTAAACGAAATGAAAGTCACAACATCGCTAGTACACAAAGGTTTGAAATTCTCTTGATTCGCAGTTTGAGTTAAAATCAATTTTACTGAGCGTTTATGATGGCTTGTTAAAAAAACTTATTTTTTTGGGCTTGTTATTACGTATCAATGCTGTAGTTAGAAAGAACTGAGAGGAAAACGAAATATCCGCAATTAACAACTAGCGAAATTGCAAAAATTGTCATTTACGGCCAAAGCTGTTTGAGGCGAGTATAAAAGTCTATCAGAAAATGAAAGTTTTCGTGTTGATTCAGTTCTCTTCTCCTTGTAGCTGAAGATTGTTCTAATCAAGGAAGCCGGTTTTTGTCATTTCTGGTCTTGTGTACTTTTTTGTACAAGCCACTTTTATCATCATGTGTTCCAAAAGCAAAACAAAACAAAAATGATTGAACCTTTTCAATTTTTTTTATTTCACTAGGCATAAGAACTCCTGAATGTTTTTGCTGCTTATTAGAGCTCTTTGTTTGTAAAAAGAGCATGTTTCAGCGGATTTCCAAGTTTTTTCAGTTCGTCATGCAACATTGATAGCTAGTTGCCTTTATAATCCCATCTGAACGGTTCCCGATGTGTTATAGTTCGGCGGCTTAGCTTCAGAGGTATGCGATTTTGGATACAAGCACCAAACTTTGCTGGAATATTTACATTTCTAGGCTGGTTATGTCCTGATAAAGTGCCAAGTTAAGGTGGCTCCGTAACTAATACGAGAGCATTTAGCTGTGACAAATTTTCCGTCATAACTTTTTCGATTTTACCGCGATGGCTGCGAAACTTTGCAAAAAACAACAGATATCATTGGGCAATAATACGAAATATTCCGATTTCATTGATGGTAAATATTTCTTGAGAAATTAGCGCTTAAAAGGACCCTACTTTTCAAAGAAAATCGCGTCTAGTAAAAAATTTTGCTGATATTTTTTACTGAATTTTTGGCTATCGGCTTTAATTGATATAATAAATATGCCAGAGGAATTTCAGAAAAATCGTTGGAGCAGAAGTCCGTAAGTAAAAGTCGCTCAAAATTTAGCTGTGAAATTGTTTTGGAATTTCAAAAATAAATTACTATCAGGAAGTAGGAGACACCGGTTTCATTTTTCGGGATTTTCTTTGAACAGTGGGGTTCTTTTAAGCGCTAATTTCTCAAGAAATATTTACCATCAATGAAATCGGAATATTTCGTATTATTGCCGAATGATATCTGTTGTTTTTTGCAAAGTTTCGCAGCCATCGAGGTAAAATCGAAAAAGTTATGACGGAAAATTTGTCACAGCTAAATGCTCTCGTATTAATTACGGAGCCACCATAAATTTTCTAATTCCAGCTAGTTTTCAGACCCGAGACCACCCAGTGAAGAACTTTTTCTTGCTCCTTTTTACAGTCCGGAATATCCCTAAATTTAAGGACAGGACCAACTGGTCACGCGACACTTTTCAGCCAATGAGAAGGCGCTTTTGTGTTTATCAACAAACAAATCAAAACATCGCCGCAGTGATCAAAACAGCGGACGGAGTTGGTCAGAATCAGTCATCGTTTCGAGGCTCTCAGGCATATTTTTAAGACTTTTCATGAGGCATACACAATTTTTTAAGTGGACAGCGTATCGCAAGCCATATTGGAAGTGTCTCGTGAAATATTCAGCACATTTTGTGGCTTATTTCTTCTTTAAACAACGCGATATATGGGCGAGATTTTGGTCGGTTTTCAAGGTAGGTGAACAAGTATCTGTTATTTTTTCTATTCACAGATTTTTTTTACGAAGTTCTAGAACAAGTATCTGTTATTTTTTCGATTCACAGATTTTTTTTACGAAGTTCTAGATATTTTTCCACGATTGTCATATCGATTAACTTTTATCATGTTGAATGTGGGGATGGTAGACAACCTAGAATTTTGGTAGACCAAAATGAATTCCGACGTCCAAAACACGTACGTTTTCCACTCCCGGGTTTCTCACAGAGCCGTGTTATTACTTTTTTTCGCATTAGTGCGAGCCTTTGCCTTTTTTCTTTTCAAGGCCAAAACAACTTTATTAGTCTTATGAATATTCACGTCATACATCACGCCTCACTTTACCGAATTTGCGGGGATGAAATTGAAGATGATAAGCGCAAGGTAGATACTAACCGCTTTGCTTCTGAAATTCACCAAATCTGGAAAGTTCTAATGTCGCTGGATTCTCCAAATGTTCATCCACCGTTGACAAACAATCAAAGAAAGAAGGCAAATTTCAAGTGTAAATGATGTATTTCGCAACTCATTGAACATGCACTAAATCTGGGATAAAATTAAAACATTGCAGGCACTATACAGCAAGCAAGGAAAGCACCAGATGCGTGAAGTCAACACGAAACAACACCAGAAAACAAACAAGAAAAATTAATAAATTTGAACTACTTTTTATTCTTGTTATGATGACTGGTTCTTTGATTCTTGTCCTGTAGAAGCTAATAGGTAGTACCGATCCTGTTTTGTATGATCTCAACAAATTTTCACACTCTCTGTAAGGCTATTTTTACATGGGACCAGTTTGCTTCTATCAAAAATTTTGCAAGCCATGCCAGTGAAGCCACGACCTCTGCGCTCAGTCCGGTTTCAGTTCAAACACCCCAATGATTCCTTGCAATGAATAATGCTCTTATTCTCTTACATGAAATGTTTTCTTTGAAATATTAAATGTGAAACCTACACGAGTACTGTAAGCTCATCTTTAATTCTGTCCGTCGACTTCGTCCGTTGTTTTGAAAATTTTTGAGCACGCCTTCTCATTGGTTGAAAAGTGTCGCATGACCAGTTGGCCCTGTCCTTAAATTTAGGGATATTCCGGACTGTTTTAGCGTTAACAGTCCGGAATATCCCTAAATTTAAGGACAGGGCCAACTGGTCACGCGACACTTTTCAACCAATGAGAAGGCGCGCTTGTGTTTATCAACAAACTAATCAAAACATCGCCCCAGTGATCAAAAATTTTCAAAACAACGGACAGAGTCGGACAGAATCAGCCATCGCTTCGAGGTTCTCAGGCATATTTTTAAGACTTTTCATGAGGCATACACATTTTTTTTTAAGCGGACAGCGTATCGGAAGCCATATTGGAAGTGTCTCGTGAAATATTCAGCACATTTTGTGGCTTATTCTTCTTTTATCTTTTAAACAACGCGATGTAATAGGAGAGATTTTGGTCGGCTTTCAAGGTAGGCGAACAAGTATCTATTATTTTTTCGATTCACAGATTTTTTACGAAGTTCTAGATATTTTTCCTCGATTGTCATATCGATTAACCTTTATCATGTTGAATG